CCTGGGCCCCGCTGCGGCAGAGCGGCCGCACGGCGCGCCCTGCGCCCCCCCCCAAAAAAAAAGAAGCGCTGTGTGCCCGGGCGGGAGGAGGAGGAGGAGGAGAGGAGGAGGAGGAGGAGGAGGAGGAGGAGAAGAGGGGAGGAGGAAGGGGGAGGAGGAAGGAGGAGGTGGAGGAGAGGAGGAGGGGGAGGGAGGAGGGAGAGGGAGGGAGAAGGGAGGAGGGAGGAGGGAGGGAGGGAGAGGGAGGAGGGAGGACGGAGAGGGGGAAGGAGGAGAGGAGGGAGGAGGGAGGGGGAAGGGAGGGGGAGGGGGAGGCGGGAGGGGGGAGGAGGGAGGAGGAGGAGGGGAGGGGGCAGGAGGGAGGAGGAGGGAGGAGAGGGAGGGAGGGGACGGAGGGAGGGAGGACAGGGGGGTGGGAGGAGGAGGAGGAGGGTTGAGGAGGAGGTGGTGGAGAGGGGGAGGGAGGAGGGAGGGCAGGAGGGAGGGCGGAGGGCGGAGGGCGGAGGGCGGAGGGTGGGGGAGGAGGGAGGGAGGGAGGAGGGGATGAGGGATGCGGAGGAGGGAGGAGGGTGGATGGGGAGGGAGGGAGGGAGGGAGGGAGGGAGGGGAGGGAGGGAGGAGGAGGAGGAGGGAGGAGGAGGAGGAGGAGGAGGTGGCGGAGGAGGAGGAGGAGGAGGGGAGGAGGGGAAGAGGAAGAGGAGGAGGAGGAGGAGGAGGAGGAGGAGGAGGAGGAGGAGGAGGAGGAGGAGGAGAATCTGACTCCGAGCTGCTGCCTTCTCGTTCCGCAGTGGCCGCATCGAGCTGCGGCGCGCGCAGGACACGCGGGCAAGGGCCTCACCGACTCGCTCTTGAGTCGTGGAACTAAATCGCCCGACAATGTGCTTCGCGCTCCGCGGTGCGCGGTCAGCTTCAAGCTCTCTCTCTCTCTCTCTCTCTATCTCTCTCCCTCTCCCTCTCTCTGTCTCTCTCCCTATCCCTCCCTATCTCTCTCTCTCTCTCCCGCTCTTTCTCCTCCTCTCTCGTCCCTCCTCACTCCTTTCTCCTTACTCGCCCCTGCCCCCACAACAAACCACCTTACATAACTGCGTTGCTCTGGTGCCGTGGCGGAAGTTATTTCTGCCAAGAGGGGGGTTCTCAAGCAAACGTGTTCCAACGCGTGCGGAAGTGAGAACGAACAACACGTGCTCCCCTGTCAGTCGGGTGGGCGTATGCTGTTTCATTGTGCACGCCTTGTTCAGCTTCTGGAACAGCTCTCTATGAATCTCCACGAGCTTCTTCAGGTAAGTGTCGCTATTGGCATCAGAGCGCTTCTCCTGCGCTAGGAAGGGTGGGAAGAGTATGCTGACACAGCAGCGCACACATACAATATGTGCTCACACCATATGGTTACTGCACAAAGACGCGCACGCGCATCCATTCTTTCCTCCTGCAAATCGTGGGACAGATTCTCGAACACGCCCAACCACGTGTAATTCCAAGTTGAATGACTGTGATATTCCATCGTGCACGCACACGTTTACAAAACGCGCGTTGACCATACGCGCGAAAGTTGAAACACTGTGCCAACAACAATCGACTGGAAGCACGCGTAAGTAAACTCTCTGAACCATCTCGAGCATGGATTGCGGATAATACCTCTAAACTCATTGTTCTCAAGGTTTGCGCAAACTCGTGGTCGAACATTGACTACTGCAATAGTGTATGCGAGCGTTGATCAAACCTGACGTCTTGGCAAGCTCGGTGTCCAACACCCGCTTAAACACAGCCGAGATACTTGCAACATCGTTTACATGTCCCAAAGCGCCCAAAAACGGTACGCCCTGTTCCTTAAACACAACACCCTGGTGCACACAAACATGCCTGGGCTCCCACAACGATATCGCATACAACAGCTCCATGCGAGTGCGAACACAAACACTCAGGGTGGGAAACACGTGATGCGGCACATACACACGGTCTGCGTAGCCAGCGCGGGAGCTGTCACAGAAGAACGCACATGCTCCTCTTAAGATTATCCTCTGCCTCTGTCGTTGTCTGCCTTAGCTTCGATCTCTTACGATTCCCCCGAGCCACTTACAACATGTCGAGCACTACGCAGCCTTGTCTAGCAGCACCGCCACCCGACGGGCCATCGCGCTCAGGTGCATCAGCTGGCAGGCGGAAGCAAGATGGAGAATTGCTGCGCATTCCCACATCTCCTGCTCCTCCTCCTGCTCCTCCCCCCCTCCTCCTCTTCCTCCTCCTCCTCCTCCACATCCTCTTCTCCCCCAACATCCTCACCCTCTCATCTCTTTCTCATGTGTTCGGCAAGCGGCTCTCAGAGCCACCCTGTGTGATGCTGTAGGACGATGATCCCAGGGCCGCACTCTGCCTCCGCTGCAGGGCGCATCACCGAGCTGCACTGTTCTCCAAAATATGCTACGTGATATACTGCATGTGTGCAAGTACAGATACAGCTGCCAGAAACAACCAAGCAACACTCACGCATAGCATATAGAATGAACCCCCTCCCTCCGAATGCAATATTAGTTTCGGATCTTCTGAGCTTCAGTGTCCGAGCGGTAGTGCGTAAGCACGCCAACTTTGATTTGCGGGGTAAAAGGGAGTGTTGCTTGTTGTTCCCCTCAACCGTAGCAGGCATTCTGCAGGAGGTCCGAACACGTTGAAGCTCGACATTTCTCGGTCTCTGGGCAGAGCTGCTACATGTGCGCCACGCGCTGCTTGCAGCAAGCAACGCGTGGCGCTTTCTGAAACGAGGCGCGCCACATTTGCAACGTATCCGTTCAAGTACCGATGGGCTCGACTTAGATGAAATCAAATAAGCGCAAACATCGGCAATCTCCCCGCTCACCTTGAAAAGCCTTCGGGAGGTTTGGGGAAGGGCGGGTGGGGGCGTCTTGGGGGTTGTGACCCCCCCCGAGGGCAGCACCCCCCCCTGGGAGAAGCTTTCGGCTCGAGAGCGTCAGCGTCGTCAGCGTCGTCAGCGTCGTCGCCGTCGCCGTCGCCGTCGCCATCGCCATCGCCGTCGACGTCGCCGTCGTCGCCGTCGTCGTTGCCGTCGATGTCGCCGTCGCCGTCGCCATCGCCGTCGCCGCCACCGCCACCGCCGCCGCCGCCGCCGTCGTCGTCGTCGTCGTCGTCGTCGTCGTCGTCGTCGTCGCCCTTCACGTCGGCGGCAACAGCCGTAAGGCCTTCGCCGTCAGAGTGGCGCATGCATCGGCAACCTTCCTGCTCACCTTGAGACGCCTTGTGGAGGAGGAGGAGGAGGAGGAGGAGGAGGATCAGGAAGACAAGGAGGAGGAGGCGCTCCTGGCCCTCTGCGAATCGCACCGGAGACAATCACGCTGCGACTCTCCAAATACTCCCGTCCGAGGCAGGATTTCGTCGCCCTTCCCGGTTCCCCTCTCGATCTGTACCGCTGGCCTGCGCATCAGAATAGGAAGCTCCGCACACTCCGCCTCCTCCTTCTTTGAGTCGTGCCCAAATCTGTGAGCATTTGCCACAGCATTCCGAGGTAGCGTGCTCGAACCGAGAGCGCATGATCAACGAACACGGCATCATACAAGGGACGGGCTAGCTCATTGTTAGACTGGTACCATGCGTCCCCCCGTCCCCGTTCCCTGCAAGATATCACATTAACATGCCCCACCGCCCAATTACACGAAAAAGACAATGGCGGGGCACGCCAAAGGTGTCATCCACAATCCGAAGCTGTCGATCTCTATGTAACCTCCACCGCCGAGATCACAGGAGCCAGAAGACGAAAACACCAGGCACCATCAACTGCCAAACAACAAATCCGCCGACGCCACTGGTGGGGAAGGGGGGTTCGCGTACGCCAAAAAGCTAAAACATCGTTCGAAGATGGCTACAGAAGGGCTCCAACACGCGGGCAAGGTCATGAAAGGTCTCATCTCAAGACGACCCGAAACGCTGAAAGAGGGGCATTAGAAGGCCTCGAGAGGCAAACAGTAGAAGCTGCTGATTGATTATCGTGTGCTCCACTTCTCGGGCGCTCGCAGACCGAAAACGACGCGAGGGACCCCCCAGACGGACCCACAAAAGCCCCCCTCCATGAGGACCCATAGACGGTCAAAGAGGGCCCCAAGTCGGGGCCCCCAAAACGGCACGCAAAAACTCCAGGAGGGCCCCAAGAGGGAGCCCTCCCCCACAAGATGGCCCCCAAGACACCCCACTCCAACATGCCCCGAAGAGGCCCCCAAGAAGCCCCCAGAGGGCCCCAGGGAGGTCTGAACAAGCTCCAAGAGGCCTCCCCTTTGGCCTCCAAAAGGCCCCCAAGAGGCCCTGCGACTGACGCGGAGGAAGAGAATGATGAACCAACAACACTTCCGCACAAGCGGCACGACGGGAAGTGGCAACCAGCGCATCTCCTCCTCTGGGGATCGGCGGACTTGCGTAAGCCTCTTGCGCAGCACGCTGATCGCCACACCGCACGTGCATGCGCGACCTTCAGAACAACTATGGTGCCAGATCTGGCGCCCTCTGTACACTTGACACTCTGGTCTGCCATCTGGCACGAAGTGCTGGAGATTCCTGTTGGCGCCTTCGTGCTACGGAATAGCCGCTCGGCTTCCCCCTTGACACCTTCTCGATACCTAGTCGACACCATCTTGGCACATCTGCTCTTCTCCACCCGGACTCCACCTGCAGGCTGCTTCGGAGCTGCACCCCTGCATCACAGCTCACACGGTCACCACCTCTTGAAAGCGCCACCTCCTCATCCGACACCTCCTCTCAACTTCTCCTTAACCCTGGAGGAGGGACGGGGTGACGGAAGGACCATGGAGGAACAAGGGATGCAGGGAGGAGGGAAGATGGACGAGGGGTAGAGCTTGCAGGGTAGGCAAGGAGGGCAGGGGCGGAGGGCTGAGGAGGCAATCGGATAGATGCGGGACGAGGGAGGGTGGAGTGGGAGTGGAGGGAGGGGAAGGGGGAGGTAGATGCGCAGGAGGAAGGAGGGAAAATGAGTAGGGGGGCAGGGGAGGAAGGAGGAGGAAAAAAGGGGAGGTGAGGCTGGAGGACGAGTGCACGTGAGGAAGGAGATGGAATGGACGCTGACCGCCAATTTCGACGGGCTTGCGTTCCTCCCGCTTGCTGCTCCGACTGCGCCAC